TCTCCTTTGTATGGACTGATGAAGCCGAATGACTTTCACCAAGTTAAGTGACATTCACTGAGCCAATATTTTGACGCAAAAACATTATTATTCCGATTATTACTTATTCAGATGACGTCTTAATCCGGGGTCCATTGTAATTCTTAAAACTCTAATCATGGTATGTCACATATCCTCTACTCTTATTTGTAAGAAAAACATTAATCTATTTTTTAATTCCAGTTTTGAATTTTCTTCACCTTTTATGGGTATAAAAAGAAAATGTCAACTTTTATAACATCAGGTTATCATAAAATGATACTCCTGTCAGTCTACCTTACATCAGGAGAATGGTCAGTGTGAAGAGAGATGTCCATCACTTAGTAATGACAGCAAAAGACCCACTGGAAGGGGATATGATAACACGACTTGCTGGACATCGCAACATGCCTGCATTGTAAGCATTAGTGGATGGTTCCACGCACACACCAGAGGACTCCTGGGCAATCTTAACTTAGATCCTTCAGATGATTTCATGCGTCCTATGGCAAGGTCAGTCAGTCATTGGTGACCGTTTTGTTTTTATTGCTTACTCAAGATTACTGTTCAGACAGTTGTTTGTTATGTGGACACTTTTCCAGCCATATATACAGTATCATATTTTATACAGGAATTTTATTTATAATGAAGAATGGAGGTTTGTATGGAAATCTTGCCAGGTATTCCCCTGCTGAAAAATATACAAGCTTAGATCAAATTTCATTTCATAGATGAAAGCTTGTATAGATACTGTATTATAACTATGACATAGCTGCATTTAATAGTGATATAGAGGTAAGAATAAAAATTAGACTCAGGTTGCAGATCTTCAATGATCAGTCTACAAATTTTTACCTATTCATTGCAGTAAGTATAGGTTTGTACCTAAATAACTACTTTTTCATTTGATAGCCTTACTAATGCCCCCATACCCAATCTGTGAGTAATAGTCAAAAGAATTATATATGCACATAATAGGTCCAGGGACTAGGCCACCCAATATTTGAAGGGTACTGCATCCTGCCAAGTGAGTGCAAAACAAAAAACCTGAAAATTTTTTTACATGATGGTAAGTTTGCTGTGTCTTTTTTTCTATCTCATAAACATGCAAGTTTTCGGGTACGTCTTGCTACTTCTGCTTACACTTAGGTCACACTACACATATGGACAAACATATATATATATAAAATATATATACACACCCATTTTTGGTTTTCTTCATTTTGTTACTACTTTTTGTTCTTGTTTATTTCCACTTATCCCCTATGGGGAAGTGGAACAGAATTCTTCCTTCGAAAGCCATTCTTGTCGTAAAGAGGCAACTAAAATGCTGGGAGCAAGGGGGTAGTAAAACCCCCTTCTCCTGTATACATTATTAAAGTTAAAAAGAGAAACTTTTGTTTTTCATTTTGGGCCACCCCGCCTCAGTGGGATATGGCCAGTTTGTTGAAAGAAGAAGAAATAGCCTAATACTGTACCACAGTTAAATGTTACCATATCACTGCCTTTAACTTATTATGATACTATGTGAAATTTTTCTAACTCTCATTTACATTTATTAGAATTCTTGCTTTACATTCTTTCTGGGCAACTGATCTCCCTTCCTCCCTAGAGGTAATTGTCTTCTCTTCCTGAAAAGTCAGCAATGAGGATATCCAACTTGGATTGTGACCTAGTCTCAGATATTGCTATGAATTTGCTAAATTTCATCAAAATAAACAAACTTGCATAATTTTTGTACATCTTTCTTCTTTCAACGCACCGGCCGTATCCCACCAAAGCAGGGTGGCCCAAAAAGAAAAACAAAAGTTTCTCTTTTGAACTTTAGTAATGTATACAGGATAAGGGGGTTACTAGCTGCTCCCAATATTTTAGTCAACTCTTACAAAATGCATGCCTTACGGAGGAAGAATTCTGTTCCACTTCCCCGTGGAGACAAGAGGAAATAAGAACAAGAACTATTAAGAAAATAAAAGAAAACCCAAGAGGGGTGTGTATATATATATGCTTGTACATGCATGTGTAGTGTGACCTAAGTGGAAGTAGAAGTAACAAGATGTACCTGAAATCTTGGATGTTTATGAGACAGAGAAAATACATCAGCAATCCTACCATCATGTAAAACAATTACAGGCTTTCATTTTACATTCACTTCAAGGACAGTAGTACCTCCCTGGGCAGCTACTGTTTCCACCCTACTACCTACAATTTTGTACAGTGGACCCTCGGTTATCGGCCATAATCCGTTCCAGAAGCTCGGCCTAAAACTGAAATGATCGAAAGCCGAAATATTTCCCATAAGAATTAATGTAATTACAATTAATCCGTTCCAGAAAAAAATATTCACCAAAAAAAAGAATTTTTTTTAACAATTAAATCAGTATTACATACTTTTATTGAAGACTAATACTGGCTCTGGAATGCCTGCTACACTTCTGCTTGTTTGCTACACTTACAGCATGCCTGCTACACTCCCTGCATGCCTATTACACTACTTACATGCCTGTTACACTTCCTGCATGCCTGCTACACTTCCTGCATGTCTGCTACACTCCCAGCATGCCTGCTACACTCCCTGCATGCCTATTACACTCCTTACATGCCTGTTACACTTCCTGCATGCCTGCTACAACTTCCTGCATGTCTGCTACACTCCCAGCATGCCTGCTACACTCCCTGCATGCCTATTACACTCCTTACATGCCTGTTACACTTCCTGCATGCCTGCTACACTTCCTGCATGCCTGCTATACTACAGCATGCCTGCTACACGCCCTGCATGCCTATTACATCCTTACATGCCTGTTTACCTTCTCTGCAGCCTGCTACACTTCCTTGGCATGTCTGCCACACTCCCAGCATGCCCATGCTCTACACTCCCTGCATGCGTGTTAACTTCTTGCATGTCTGTACACTTCCTGCATGCCTGTCTACACTTCCTGCATGCCTGCTACACTCCCAACATGCCAGCCTACCTCCCTGCATACCTATGTACACTCCTTACATGCCTGTTACACTCCTGCATGCCTGTTACCACTTCCTGCATGCCTGCGACACTCCCGCATGCTGCTACATCCTGCATGCCTAGGCTTACACCCTTACATGCCCTGTTTACATTCCTGCATGCATGCTACACTTTCCTGCATGTCTGCTACACTCCCAGCATGCCTGCTACACTCCCTGCATGCATGTTACACTCACTGCATGCCTGCTACATTTGCTGCATGTCTGCTACACTCCCAGCATGTCTGCTACACTTCCTGCATGCCTGCTACACTTCCTGCATGCCTGCTACACTCCCAACATGCCTGCTACATTCCCAACATGCATGTTACACTCACTGCATGCCTGCTACTTTGCTGCATTGTCTGCTACACTCCCAGCATGCCAGCTACACTTCCTGCATGTCTGCTACACTCCCAGCATGCCTGCTACACTTCCTGCTTGTCTGCTACACTTACAGCATGCCTGTTACACTCCTTGCATGCCTGTTATGCTCCCAGCATGTCTGCTACACTCCCAGCATGCCAGCTACACTTCCTGCATGTCTGCTACACTCCCAGCATGCCTGCTACACTCCCAGCATGTCTGCTACACTCCCAGCATGCCAGCTACACTTCCTGCATGCGTGTTACACTCACTGCATGTCTGCTACACTCCTAGCATGTCTGCTACACTCCTAGCATGCCTGCTACACTCCCTGCCCCCTCAAGGAAGGTTCCTTGATGTTGGTGAGGGGCTCTTGATTTAGGGAATTGGATCTGTGCTCCAGTTCCCCTAATTAAGCCTGAATGCCTTCCACATCCCCCCCCCAGGCGCTGTATAATCCTCCAGGTTTAGCGCTTCCCCCTTGATTATAATAATAATACACTCCCTGCATGCCTGCTACACTTCCTGCATGCCTGCTACACTTCCTGCATGCCTGCTACACTCCCAGCATGCCTACTACACTCCCTGCATGCATGTTATACTCACTGCATGTCTGCTACACTCCCTGCATGCTGCTACACTTCCTGCATGTCTGCTACACTTCCTGCATGTCTGCTACACTTCCTGCATGCCTGCTACACTTCCTGCATGCCTGTACACTTTTTTTTTTCCCAGCATGCCTGCTAACTCCCAGCATGGCCTGCTACACTCCCAGCATGCATGTTACACTACGCTGCATTGTACATCCCCTGCATTGCTTGTTAACACTCTTGCATGCTATTAATTTCCTGCATGCCTGCTACACTCCCTGCTGCCTGTTAACACTCCTTGCATGCCTGTTACTTCTGCATGCCTGATACACTTCTGCATCCTGCTACACTTTGAGCCTGTTACGCTCACCTGTATGTTGCTACACTCCCAGCATGCCTGCTTCACTTCCATATGCTGCTACACTCCTGCATGCCTGCTACACTCCCTGGCATGCCTGCTACACTCTTGCATTGCCTGCTACACTCCCTGCATGCCTGGCTACACTCACACTTAAATTCATGGTGTTTCATCACTTTCTTTGGAGGCCATGGTAACTTTATTTTCGCAATTGTACCGCAAAAAATAAAAAACACAATAACAAAGGCAAAACAAGCAAAATGTTTGGGATGTATGACCAGAAGCTTCTCTAAGCACTGATAGACACCATACTAAACCTGACAGTTGCAAGCAGCTCCCGCTGGTGGACGGACGCTCGTCCGAAATGACCGTCACTGGGAGCCGAAAAAATCGGCAATCACCGAGTTGGCCAATGCAGGAAAGGAACGGCCAATAACCGAGTGTCCACTGTACATGATTTCAGCAAATAATGCCTCAGTTTGCAGAATCCTTTATTACTGGGAGAAAGAAATATTTGCAAGAACTATATTATGTCTTATTAATCATACATTTTTAGGTACAGGCATCGGCAGAAAGCAAAGGAATATTTTAGTGAAAGCTGGCACCTAGGTATTAGACACAGTGTTTTCCTGATGAAAGCTGAGGACTGAGATCCCACCAGCAGCCAACAAAAAAGTCTTGTGTTATAAGTTCCTCCTCCACTATGCCTCTCCTGTTTTGTAAGTCATAATATTTTGATGTATGTTTGAAAAAAAAAAAACTCTTATACAAGTTCTGTGTTTGCCATACTTAAAAAGTCAAATTATCTAAGTGATAAAAATAATGTCAGCCACTTGTAATATAATTACTGGAATTGTTAAAAGTTATGAACAAGTGACCCCCCCCCGACTAACCAAAATAGCTCTGTTCCTTAAGTTACAATATTTCACAAATAGGTACTCACCAATTCAATTGCAAGTATTACATTCTGTACTCACATTTTTCACAAAGAAAATTAATAAAATTCAGCATAGTCCCCTTTTCCTCATTTAATATGTACATATCTATTTTCTTACTAGTTCTTGTTCTTGTTTATTTTCACTCATCTCCATGGGGAAGTGGAATAGAATTCTTCTTCTGCAAGCCATGTGTGTTGTAAGAGGCAACTAAAATGCTGGGAGCACGGGGCTAGTAACCCCTTCTCCTGTTATATGTTACTAAATTTGAAAAGAGAAACTTTCATTTTTCTTTTTGGGCCACCCTGCCCTGGGATGTGGCCAGTTTGTTGAAAGAAATAAGAAGACTATAGTGTAATAAAGTTGGTAGAATTACCGACAATATGTAAAGTAAAAGGACAATAGTGCACCTAAAGTGACATTTTATTGTGGCAACGTTTCGCTCTCCAGGAGCTTTATCAAGCCATTACAAACAATACATGGAGAAAGCTGAGACTGAGATCCCACCAAGCAGCCAACAAAAAGTCTTGTGTTATACGTGTTATATGTGGACGACGTCCTCGTAATAACTCCCAAACGTTTTGATGTACGGAATCTTCAGGCAAGGCTCAATGCAGTTGAACCGGCGATCCAGTTTACACTAGAAGAAGAGTCCAATGACAGGCTACCTTCCTCGACGTCCTCATTCACTAATGTGGACAACACTAAGATTTCAAGTTTATAGTAACTGCTACCAATAAAAAAATGATCTCCACACTTTATTCCAGTCAAGTCACCAAGACCAAAAAGAGGATCATCATCAGGTTTTTCCTAAGAGCATACCGAATTGTAGTCCTGAGTTTCTTGACGAGGAATGTACTACATTCACCAAACATTCAATGAGTTACATTTTCACGTCCTTTTTCATCAAAGACTGCAAAGGCTCTTCAGATCATTAATTCTCACGCACCAACACACTCCCACAAAGTTATAATTCTTCCCAACAGTCAGGTTGCACTGAACGATTCTAAAGTACTTTCACAAGTAACCCAGAGCGCCATGCTGTCTAGCACTTCAATAAAGGATCTAAACAGGAAAAATCAAAGCACCACGAACCAGTCAACGCTAGGAGTTTATACTATACCCTGTGGAGGCTGTGACAAGATTTACGTAGGCGAAACAGCAAGAAACCTGGACACCGACCTCAATGAACACATTTAGCATGAGGAAGATAACTTGAACAACGCCTGTGTACAAAACACCGAAATTCCACCAATATCTCAAGAAATCAGAGACGCCAATTAGTGATCAAAGACATCTAATTCCGCAGAATGCAAGTGCCTGAATCAGCACTGATCGCTTGTTTGTAATACAATTAAACAAAAAACAACGGCAAGCTTCACCATCTAGCAAGAATCCTCTTGAAAACAGGTAAAACCTGCCATCGCATAGTCTATCCTATTATACTACACAAAGGCACATTACAGAGAGTGAACCACTGAAACAGTGCTGCTCTATCAGTCTATTATTTGTCCAACTATTTTTATGTTACCAAGTAATAACTTTTATATACTTTTACTCATGTACGAATTAATTTTGCTCTACCATATTGTAGACTACTACTACTACTACTACAACTTTGTCATACTAATACTATACTACCACCCACTGTATTGCACCTCACTCTGAGAGCCTATATATACCTCTGTGTCATGTATTGTTTGTAATGGTTGATAAATTCAGGTTAAATTCAAAATTCAAAGTTATTCTCTATAAGGATTACTATGTGAGTGAGTTTAAAGAATTTGGTTATTGTGTGGTTTAAATGTAGTAAATATATTTACAGAAGTGTACCCACTAGAACTCCAGCTTGGCTAGGTCATTTCGGGCAGATCTTAGATTAAATCTTAAGTTTAAAATTATTACAAAATTTATTTAGTAAGTTTGGTATTATGGCTAATGACTAAATTAGTTGTGAGTTTAGCAATGTGGAATGCTTTTGTTTTTTGGCACATAATAATTTCAGTATTTGGAGTATCCACAGGCCAACTTATGACTAGTTAAGATTCATTATTTTGAGATTTGAGATTGATATTTCTGTTTATGGTCAAATGGTGTGAGTGAGTGTAAGTGTTAACCACCAGGTGGTATTTTTTGTAATTAGTTGACAGGGTTGATATCAGGGAGATTAAAAAAAAGATGTTTCCTGATGGTAGTTTGAAGGTGATGAATGTGTCTGCAGTTTTAGCATTTTCAGGGAGGGTGTTCCAGGATTTTAGGGGCCTCTGACAAAATTGAATTTATGTAATGGTTTAGTCGGACATGGGGAATGTCATAGAGATGTTTGTGTTGGTGTTGTGCTGTGGGTTCTGTCACAAACTATCAAGAAAGCATTTAGGTCAAGGTTAATTTTGTGAATTTAAGGTCCTGTAGATGATGATTGCACAGTAGTAATGTGGATTTTACTGCACGGGAGTAAGTTTTGATCTATGAAGAGTGGGGGGGTGTGTTGCCAGGGATGGGATTTAGTGATTATTCTTATGCGGCTTTTAGTTGGGTTATTATTGCCTTTAGGTGTGTTGCTGCAGTTAACCCCCAAGCAGAGATAAGCATAGGTGGGATGGATATATAAGTGAATGGTATAGTGTGAGAAGGGCAGTTTGCGGCACGTAGTATTCGTATCTTGGAGAGGATCCCAACCGTTTTGGATACTTTTTTGGTTATGTGGATATATGGGTGCTGAGTTCAGGTTGTTGTCGAGGTATAGGCCTAGGGACATTTGCCTCATTATGCCTGGCAATTAGAGTGTTGTCAATTTAATGTTTAATTTGGCATCTCTTGCTTCTGCTACCAAATATAATGTAGTAGGTTTTTCAGTGGTTAAGCATAAGTTTATTGGCTGTCATCCAAGTCGATATTTTTGATCAGCTCTCTCATTAACGCTTTGGGGTTTTTGGTCGTACTAGTACGTCTTACGAGTGGGGCTTTTTGACGTATAGTACTTCGTAAATTCTAGCGGCCTCAAATTAGTGGAGAGAAAGCTGGTAGGCCCTTCATATGAAAGAATGGGTCTATGTGGTCAGTGTGCACAGTCTTTAAAAAAAATCCTGCAGCACACAGTGAATAATGAGAATAAAACAAACTTTGACCATTTTTTTTTAATAAATCAGCGTCTTTGCAGTGTATTTTCGTATATGGTATTTATTGTTGTATTCTAGTTTTCTTGTCTCATTTTATAGAATGGAAGACATATTTACGAAATTGAGATGATTTTGATGGTTTTTTATCACATGAAAGGTGCCTTGAAATTTGAGCTCAAAAGTGCAGAAAAATGTTTCGATTTTTCCCAAACTTCAAAAGTAAACAAATCGTGCCAAGCGTGCAATCACGTTCAACTGGTGAGTCAAATATTCTTTCACAAGTGCACCCTTAATATTTATACCCATTTTTTACACTAATGCAGTAGTCCTGCATAAACAGTAAATTCTTATATTTTTTGTGAAAATAAAAATTCAAAGTGGGAAAGCAATAAAGAATATAAGAGGGGCCTTGAGACGTGACTAATGGACTAGAGGAATGTCATTTTAGTGCAGGAATGTCTTTTCTTGTTTTAATTCTGGGACCCTATTCGCGAAATTGGCCATCTTTGGAAATTTGTGTGTTATTGGCAAATTGCTAAATTCTGACCACTGTAATGATAGTTGAATTCATAAATGGGTGGTTTCTGCACCCATTCGTTAGAAAAAAAAAATGGAGTTCTAGCGAAATTTTCATGTTTTCTGTCGATAGTCAGTGACAATTGGCTGAAATGGGGCTCAAAGTGGGCCAAATTCGCCGATGCGTGTAAACATCGCGAGACCGCTAACTTTGCGAGAGCCCATTTTTAAAATTCCGTTTAAGTTTTCTATCAAATTTCAAAAATTTTGGGTTTTGTCTTTATGATCGGGAAAAGATTCTCTATCTTTTCATAAGAGAAATAATTTTTTTTTGCGCTTTAAAATTTGGCCCGCCCGACCCTGGAACGAGTTTCGGAGAGGGCCTGTCGACTCAAAGGGGTTTAACAATGAGTGTTGAGGGTGGCAAGATTAGGGTGAGAGATGAAAATAAGTTGTGTCGTCAGCAAGAGAATGGGGTTCAAGGTGTTGAGATACGTTTGGAGATCATTGATGTATATGAGGAAGAGCAGGGGACCAAGGACACTTCCCTGCGGAACTCCAGTATCAAGTGGCTGTGTTGTTGATGCTTGTGTCTTTAATGGATACATACTGATAACCTATTTGTAAGTAAGATTTGAATATGTAAGCCGCATGGCCTATCTATTCTATTATGGTCAAGTTGGTGGAGGTAGGATGCCATGGTCATACTGTGTCAAAGCTTTTCTAGGTCAATAAAAATTCTAGTGGATATTCTTATTTTTCCAATGCTGTGTTTAAGCAGATCTTGCATTTTTATGATTGCATCGTTAGTGCTTTTATTTTTCCTGAATCAAATTGCAGGGGTTGAGTTATGTTTTCTGCGTTATAAATGAATTTTTTTTTTTTTAAAAAAATAGTATCCTGTGCATGAGTTTCTCAAAGATTTTGGATAGCAATGGTAGTTTGATATTGGCCTATAGTTGTTTAATTCTGTAGGGTCATCACCTTTGTATTGGTGTAACCTTGCCGTCTTGAGTAGTTTCAGGAAGGTGCTAGTTTCTAGTGACTTGTTAAAAAGTATGAGATAGCATGCGAGAGAGACATGGGCCGCTTCTTGTACAATAATGGTGGGACATGAAGACAGATTCATCTGAGTTATTTTTAGTGACT